CTTGCTATTCAGGAATAAAAGAGTATTCTGTGGTTGGAATCAGATATGCTGTCTATAGGTAATTGTTTTTGTTTAAGAGTCAGATAGATCCTTCTTTGAATCTCTGTTCTACTTGCTGTTTAGGGCTGATATTGCTTAACCTCTCTGTGCCTTTGTCATCTTCTCTGGAAAGTGAGGTGGTGGTATTCTCTTTCTTGATGTGCGAAGCTGGAATTCTTTGTGTAATGCTTAAGAAAGTTGCTTAACTTTCTTAACTTTTCTCTGGCCATTGCTGTGCATTCTGCTCGTGAATGCCCATACCCCAATTCTGATCACCCTCCTGCCTCATCTTTCTTGTTTTCTGTAGCACTTAGTGCCTTTCATGGACTAAATGATTGAATTTGTTAATGTTTATTGCTTATTGCATGTTTCTCCCTCTCTAAGAATGCAGGTTTCGCCCTGGCTGATGTGGCCAAGTGGATTGAGCTCTGGACCTCGAAGCAAAAGGTCACTGGTTCGATTCCCAGCCAGGGCACATGCCTGGGTTGCAGGCCAGGGCCCCAGTGAGGGGTGCATGAGGGCAAACCACATATCGATGTTTCTCTCCCTCTCTTTCTCCTGTTCTCTCTTTCTAAAAATAAATAAATATAATCTAAAAAAAAAGAACATAGGTTCCATGAAGTCAGGGATCTGTTTTTACTGAGATATCTCAACTGCCTAGTAGGTGCTTGACAGTTATTTGTTGTCCCCCCTTTCTTTTATGTTCATGCTTCTACTTAGTGAGACTTGTTCTAGTTCTATAATTCTGTGGTTCATGTTCTTCTTATCTTTTTATTTTTCTCCTGGAGCTTTAGTTCATTAGATCACATCCATCCAGCTTTAAATATTGTGCTTCTCCCTACATTGCTGAATAAGTTTCAATGATGACTATTCTAGAATCTCAATCTGGTAAAAAAAAAAATCCTCTACTTTTTGTTTTTAAAGTACAACTTTCTAGTAAAAGCACATTAGTCATCGAAGAACTACCTAAATTTGCTTAAACACACTAAAACTTTTTTTCTTAAGTCATAAGCTGGCATAAAAGGTTCTGGAGGGGGAAAAAAACTGGACAACTTCCCCAAACCTCGGACTTCTTTAAAGTAACTGATTAGTTAGTTACTGTTAAAATGAGCTCTGTTTTTAAAAGGAACAGCCAGGGTTTGGATGAAATGTCTTTGAATTTGGAGATGCAAACCAGATCCACATGTGCCTCTGTCTGTCTGTATTTTTGGTCTGATAAAAAACAGGAAGTGGGGGAATCTGACAAGCCTGATTTGGCTGGACTAAACTGATTTTGTTTCTTCAGTACATTTTGGGTGTCAAAATTCAGGCACAAGACATTAATAGGATAAAGACAAAAACCAACTGATCACCTCAATCAGTGCTAAAAAAGCACTCAAAATCCAATACCCTTTTGTGATCAAAACAAAACAAAACAAAACACACTCAGCAAAATAGCATAGCAGGAAACTTCTTCAATGTGATAAAGGACAGCTACAAAAAGCCCACAGTTATATCATATTTGATGGTGAAAAATGGGCTGCCTTCCCTTAAGATCAGGAGCCAGACAAGGATGTCCACACATGCCACTTCTAGTCACCATTGCTCTAGAGGTCCTAGCCAGGGCAATAAGGCAAGACAAAGACATAGAAGACAGAAGACTGGAAAGAAATAAAACTGTGTCTATTCACAGATGACAAGATCTTGTGTATAGGAAATCCTAAGAAAGCACAGACATACAATTAGAACTGATAAACAAGTTCAGCAAGATTGCACAATAGAAAATCAATGTACAAATATCATTTGTGTTTCTGTACAGTAACAATCTGAAAAAAATAAACAATTTTATTTACAATGGCATTGATAAGAATAAATTACTTAGAAATAAATTTAGCAAAAGAAGTGCAAGATTTATAATGGAAAACCATAAAATAGCATTAAAGAAATTAAAATATACAGAAATAAAAGAAAAGACATCCTTTGTTCATGATTGGAAAACTTAATATTGTTAAGATAGCAATATTCTCCAAATTGATGTGCAGGTTCAGTGCAATCCCTATCAAAATCCCAGCAGGATATTTTTGCCGAAATTGGCAAGCTAATCCCAAAATTTATATTTTATGATACAAATGCCAGGGACCAGAAGAACCAAAACAGTTTTTTAAAGGAGGAACAAAGTTGGAAGCATCCCACTTCACAATTTCAAGACTTATTATAAAATGGCCATAATGAAGACAGTGTAGAACTGGCATAAGGATAAACATACAGATCAATGGAAAGAAATTGAAAGTCCAGAAGTAAACCTTTAATTTATGATCAGTTGATTTTTGACAAGAATTCCAAGACAATTCAATGGGGGAAAATAGACTTTTAACAAATGGTTGTGGGACAGTTGGATAGCCACAGGAGAATGCATTTGGACTCCTACTTCACACCATATGTAAAAATTAACTCAAAATGGAACATAGGTCCAAATATATGAGTAAAAGCTAAACCATAAAACTCTTAGATAAAAATACAGGAATAAATCTTTATGACCTTGGGTCAGGCAGTGGTTCTTAAATTTTATCCTCAAAGCACAAGCAACAGCAGAAAAAAAAATTGGACTTCATAAAAATAAAAAACATTTGTTCTTCAACAGGTATCATCAAGAAAGTGAGGACAGCCTACATAATGGAAGAAAATTTTTGCAAATCATATATCTGATAAAGGATTTGTATCCAGAAAATATATAAAGAATGCTTATAACGTAATAATAAAAGACAAATAACAATTTTTAAAAAGATTAAGGATTTGAATAGACATTCTTCCAAAGATACATAATGAGCACATAAAAAATGCTCAACATTATTAGCTATTAAGAAAGTACAAATTAGCCCTGGCTGGCGTAGCTCAGTGGATTGAGCGCGGACTGCGAACCAAAATGTCGCAGGTTCGATTCCCAGCCAGGGTACATGCCTGGGTTGCAGGCCATAACCCCCAGCAACCGCACATTGATGTTTCTCTCTCTCTCTCTATCTCCCTCCCTTCCCTCTCTAAAAATAAATAAATAAAATCTTTAAAAAAAAAAAAGAAAAGAAAGTACAAATTAAAACCACAATAAGATACCACTTCACACCCACTAGGATGGCAACAATCAAAAAGAAAGACAATAAATAACAAGTGTAGCAAGGAAATGGAGAAAATGGAATGCTCATTCATTGATGGTGGGGATGTAAAATAGTCCATATATTTTTGAAAAACAGTTTGACAGTTCTTCAAATTATTAAGCTGAAATTTACCATAGGACCCAACAATTCTCCTAGGTATCTACCCAAGAGGTTTGAAAACATATGTCCATACACACACACAGAGACTTATACATAAATATTCAGAGAAGCATTATTCACAAAAGTCAAAGAGTAGAAACAATCTAAATCTTACCAACTGATAGATACATAAAATATACAATGGAATGTTATATTGCAATAAAAGGGAATGAAGAATTGACATATGCTACAGCATGGATGAACCTTGAGAACATCATGCTATATGAAAGAAGCCAATTTCAAAAGTCTACATATTGTATGATTCCTTTTATTCCAGATAGGCAAACCACAGAAATAGAAATAGATTAGTAGTGGTTGTCAGGACCTGAGGGAAAGGGAATGTGGGAAGTTACTGCTAATGTACACAGTTTTTCTTTTGGGGGTGATGAAAATGTTCTAAAATTAGACAGTGGTGATAATTTCACAACTCTGTGCACATACTAAAAGCCACTGAATTATATGCTTTAAAATGGTGAATTTTATGGCATATGAAGTATATCTTAACAAAACTGTTATCAAAAAATTTAGACACATGGGGAATAGGATTATGGACTCTTCACTGCTTTTTATAAGGTGCCACTGGAACGAATCATAAAGATGAGAGTATACATACAGCAGCTTATTTTCTTTAAAATTTCCTCCATATTTTTCTTCTCTATTTTGTTGATGGAAGCTAGAAACACTTTTGTGTTATTGACATGAATCTTTTTATTGCTTCATCATTTGTGTAGCAATGGAAAATGGAACAGAAAGTGTCACAGGTTTGATTCCCAGTCAGGGTACATGCCTGGGTTGCAGGCCATGACCCCCAGCAACCGCACATTGATGTTTCTCTCTCTCTCTCTTTCTCCCTCCCTTCGCTCTCTAAAAAATAAATAAATCAAATCTTTAAAGAAAAAGAAAATGGAACAGATAAACTTAAAAAGAAATGTTCAATTTTCGGGGGAGCTTTTCCTTGTTGGCTGCTAACTTTTGAAGTAATTCATATGCATGGTCCTCTTATTAAAAATGTGTATCAAAAGTGACCAATGTAGTGAAGATTTAGGATTCTAATTAGAATTTTAAATCTACTGTGTCTTCAGTGGAGGTGAAAATGTCTTTCTTGTGAAATCTTAGAACCAGATTTGTTTAGTGGGGGAAAAAATGTTTTTGTTCTTTGTATAGAAAATCTCACCTACTGTTCTTTTTAAAGCCACATCCATTTTCCAAGGTCTAAGCATCTTTTATAAAAATGATATATAATTAGTATTTGTTAAATCTACTGGTAATATTACTGGCCAGCATATGTATTGTCTATTTAATTACCATTACAGTCCAGGAAATTGTAGTCATGATCTATCTTCAGTGTTTTACCTAGTAAAAATAAAAACTATTTTAACATTCCTGTTGGGGTATTGATTTAGAAGGAAAGGTTGAACTCTATGTTTAAACTCCTTAGCATGTTTGCCTGGTGGTCTCTGACCTTCCACGGTGTTTCCCCATGCACAGTGCCATGCCAATTACAAAGACAGACTTGCTGTGGGTTGTTCCTTTACATGCTTTTGCCAAAAGCCAATTATCAAGGGATATGCTTATGGTTTGGGATCCAAGGGTTAGGGATCTGCTGCAGGTCAATTGAAAAAATAGATTTTTTTTTTTGCCTTCCTTCTCACCTCCCATTTTTGCTGCTCGCAGGAAGATCTGTCTGCACTGCAAGTGCCCTCAGGAGGAGCACATGGTGACAGTGATGCCCCTGGAGATGGAGAAGACCGTCAGCAAACTCATGTTTGACTTCCAGAGGAACTCGACCTCGGATGATGACTCAGGCTGCGCCTTGGAAGAGTATGCCTGGGTCCCACCTGGGTTGAAGCCTGAACAGGTACTATTCTTGATGAGGGCGATTGTGGCTTGGCTTTTACCTTTGTCTTACCCATCTGGCTTCATTCCAGCTTAAAAGGACGAGTTGACTTGACTGGTTGAAAGAAGTGGTTGGGGCTTCCATGGGTTGAAGATGTCTGGGAGCACAATGGGAAATGAGAAACAGAATTGAAACTGAACCTTGTGCAAGCCATACTTATTCATTCTGTACTGCCATGAAGGGTTAACAGAAGATAGTCCAGAAATTTCTCAGAAATGTTGGCTTTGAAACATTAGAGAATGAAACTTCAGTTTTGGAGAGGGAAGGGAGTCCTGCCTTGGCCATGAACCTTAATGGTAAGATTCATTGTAAAGCAGAGTGAGGAAATGTAGATTCGCCTATTCTCCCCAGTGATATATATGTGTTCTGTTTAAATATTACAGTTGGCCTTGCTTTACAAAGAAAGACATTGGCATTTCCTGAAATATTTTGGCACTACCCACAGGCTGTAAATATTATTGGCTAGATGAGATGAACTTGGTTTCTTTCTGTTTTATTGCATTTTTCTCAGTGATATACAGCCTCTACTTTGCATTTCTCAGTACTTGGAATTTTCTCTTCCACCAGCTTCAGTTTTGGCTGAGAAGCCCCTGCTATTGGCTGGACATTTTCATGATCTTCTCTGTGCATCTTTTAGATACAGGTTTACCAGGATCTTAAGTGTTTAACTACAATTCCCTTCCTCTGACACAGAGAGTGTCTTGCTCTGGAGATCTTTATGTCTGATGGGATGTTTTGAAGTTTAAAAAAACCCTGAAATTTTAATGTAGGAACTTTAGATGTGATCATACTTTTGAATAAAGTTCTTTATGATGAAGGAAGACCCAAGGATTCATCAACAACTTAAGGATAGGACCCTGATAATATCTCTTTGATTGGCCATTTCTCATTTTCTTCTTCCAACATTGAGGTTGCAAATTGGCTGATGAAAACAAGCTTACAAGCAGGGTTTCTTTAGTCAGCAAAGTGTTGTTTAAATTTTTTAATGAGTTTCTAATCCTTAATAATTAGGAATTTTTATTAAGCTTTTTAAAAGTTTATATTTATATATGGAAAATTTGAGGATCTGAAATCTCATTTCTGCCAGGATTGGTGTTTTGGCTATTGAGTCAAGAGCTGGCCATTCTTTCTACATGGAGTTTGATCTCTCCAAGTCACCCTAGTCTCCCACCAAGTCCACTTTATCCCTTTGTGTCACCTTCCTAAACTCTGCAGATACTTCAGTTTTGTCATCTCTAGTCTAGTTCTTACCATGGATAAAATATCTCAAAATAGAAATATTCACAGGAAATAATCTCCATGGGAACTGAAGGGAATTCTGTGTTGCATACTAGCAGGAAGAAATTAGAATGTTTTCTGTTTATAGGCTGAGGTTATATATTTTCTTCTGTTTTAGTAAGGATTGTATTATTAAAGAGTACATTTAAGAGGAATGTAAGTATTTGAGTTTGTCTAGAAACTCAAATGAGGTGGTGGGTGACTGAGTATCTTTGTCTGACATTCTGCCCCCAGTACTTGAGCAATGAGTTTTCACACCTAAATACATCTGTGAGCTTGTTTCATTTTCTTGCTAACCTCATTTCCAGCAGCTTCTAAGAGACCCATCTTTTGTTCACTTTACTTCCTGCTAAATTATACCCTGAAATTTCAAAGTTAAGCTATTTTCAGTTCCCTGCCTAGGCAGATTCTTTTCTAAGATGATTGAACATCAGTCTATGATGTTCAGATTCAGAGAAAATTTTCTATTGAGCCAAGAACAGACCATTGCAGAAGCTAGTTCTTGGTAAAATTGACCAGTTCACAACATGAGTGCTTATGGTATTTTGGGGGCTACTTTGACTCATCTGAAATGAACGCCTTTGGGAAAGTATAAAACAATGTTCTTTGATTTGTTTTGAAAGAAAATGATTAATGCTATTAAACAAGAGGTTTGAATTATGTCAGATGAAAGGCTATTCCTATTTCTTATAATTCTATTGCTTTTTGCATGGTCTTCTCTATTCCCTACACTTACTCAAACCTCCATGACACAGATCGTTAGAAAGGGAAATTGTTCTTCAGAGACTATCTCTTCAAGTTATTTGAAAGCCTCTATATTTGTCTAATAAAATATGAGTCTATATTAAAGATATTTGAAGAGATCATGTTGCATAAAAGAAATGGGCTTCACATTTTTTAATTATGAGATCTTTTGAAGTTTATAACTTACGGAACTGTTTATAGGTTTGAAGATTTTAAAAACCTTGTACAGTATGTTCTAAGATTAGAAAAGTTTGAGTCATAAATGCCTTTAACTAATAAAAATTCTGATGTTTAATATCATGTTAGTTGTCTCTGGTTTCAGAAAAAGAACATTTTTCTATCAAGAGAAATTATAGTGAATGTTAAAATGCTTTGTACTGAAGGCAAAATACTAAAGACTAGTTAGGGTTGAGAGTAATATGCTTTCATTTTTATTAGAAACCTTTCATTTTAGTCCCTGATTGTGGAGTTGGTAAATATACCTTCAGGTGATATTCTTTATTATTCTATTTCTTCTGAGAAATGCTTTCAATTAAATATAATGCAAATGAAAGTCACCTCCCATTTTGAAATGTCCTCCTGAATATGGGCATTTAATTTTAGAAAAAATTTATTAGCTATAAAACCCAACTTTCTTAAGATAATATGAAAAGTAATATATTTATTATAACAGATGATGCCAGAAAGCACAGCCATTTATCTTGTGATTTTTAATGACTGACTTGAAATTTCTTCAGGGACGTTGTTCAGATCCTTTGCTTTCTCCACATGAGGTGTTTAGTGTCATCCAGACAGCCCTGTAGTAGCAGAACAGAGGACAGGAGTTGCCCTGGTTGACCATCTGAAGTCATCTATAAGACTCCAATTTCTCTTTAAACTCAAACAGTTAATATGTGTCCTGTCTCCTAGAGATGCTGTGGTTATAAATTTGTAGTACATAAAACCTCAGGAAAGACTTCGAAAATATTCAACAACTTATAAAAAAAGCAAATGGTGAGCAGTGTTTCTCAGTCTCAGCACTATTGCAATTTCAACTGGATAATTCTTTGCTGTTAAAGGGTTACTGTGCACTGCAAGATGATTACCAGCATCACTGGGCTCTACCCAAGAAATGCCAGTAACCTACACTGCCCCTCCCCCTGTGTTGGGATAACCTAGCATGTCTCCAGACATTGCCCAGTGCCCTGAGGGGTGGATTGAATACCACTGGGTGAAAGTGATATTAAGAGCTGGAGTATCCTTCATCAAAATTCTGGCCCAATTGAGACAAAAAAGGATGGCTCAATTCAACAAACATTTATTGAATATCTGCCATGTTCTGTAGCATAATAGCTGCTGCCTTGTAAGGAGGTCAGGTGTTTGGTAGAATAAAAAAGTGGTGACCCCAGGCCACTTGAGCAGAGACCAGTACCCTTGGAGGCAGATCATGCCATCCCAGCAAAGAATTGGAGAGGTGTGAGTGGGCAGTTGGTGGGTCACCTTTTGTTCTTCAAAATAAAATTGCTTTTTTCCTTTTATAAAGCAAAGAACTCTTCATTTTAAAAAAATGTGAAACTTCTAGGAAAGCAGATAAAAATCACTCAGTTTTACCAACCAAAGAAAATCATTTCCCAACTTTTTGCATGTATGTAACAAGTATCTATGTTTATGAGAGTACAATTCTGTTTTATCTTGGACAAAAATGTGATGATGCTATCCACTTATTGTGATTTTTTCCACTTCATGTTTTATGAAGGTTTTTCTCTATCAGTATATTTAGATCCAGATTGTCCTATAGAATGGGTATATGGTTGGTTTTCCATTGGTAGTTTCTAACCTGGAGCTGTATCACCCAACACTAGGGGGCATTTGGGAATGGATGTTTGGGAAGAGGTAGTTACTGTCAAAATGATTGGAGGGTCCACTGCCGTTTTAATGGGTAGGAGCCTGGGGTGCTAAACATCCTGGAAAGTGTACCAGATGAACCTGTACCAAGGAGAATTGATCCCTCCCAAATACCAAGAGTACCACCATGGAGCAACTCTGAGCCAAAGGTTTGTTTTTGAATATGTGCATTTGGGGCTGCTTTCCTCAATATTAAAGAAGGTGATAGTGGCCAACCTTCCTGTACAATTGCCTATTTCTCGCCTGAAGAACAATTGCTATAGGTAGAGTGGTCACATGTAAAGCTCTTTAAGGCTTTAGATTCATTGTGCCAAACTGCCCTTCAGCAAGGTGGTAACTGCTTCATCCTCTATCTAGGTGGATGGCTTTCATTGGGTCCATGTGGGTGTGATTTTTATATTAGTTCTTCTACTCCCTGTTCCACAAAAGCCTGAAGAGGCCATCAGATTGTTTCTCCTGAGTGAATGTCCTTTCCATCAATGTTCTGGATACTGCAAATGTCTGTGGAGGATTCTCAAATATAAATGTTCCCAAATCCTTGGTCTCCACACGTTAGTAATTTCACATTGACCTTAACTGTGTTTCTGCATATAAAGAGTGGTGATTAGGTTATTTGTCAATAACACTCAGGTTTCACTTCAAACCATCCCAGGGAAGATGAAGAGTAGATATCAGGAGTAACTGTCCAATTTTTGGCTTTCAAAGTATTCTGCCATTTGTGGCAAAAGGGACCATCTAATTCTACATAAAGATGGGATGAATTAGTTGGTTTTGAGCCCTGGAGAAGTCTAGAATATCTTTCCTGGGGATATGTAAAACTCTTTATGTGGATTCTAATTTAGTGACTACAGCTCATCTATCAGGTGTCACATTAAATGTGTATTTTCTCTGACCACCCCCAGATTCCCAATATATGCTATGTCAATCTTTGAAATTTTCCTTATTAGCATCCATCAAACTTGTAATTAGGTACTTATTGTTGTAATTCTTGGTTTAATATTTGACTCTCCAACTTTTTTTTAAGATCCAGGAGGGCAGGGATCTTGTCTGCTTTG